GGAGTCCCATGTCAAATTTTGACAGATCGTGGTGCTGAATTTGAAGGAAATCTGTTCACACTGTTATGTCAGAAATTAGGAATTGAGAAGAAAAGCTCTTGTGCTTTTAGACCAGCCCAAAATCGCCTTGTTGAGCGGTTCAATCGAACCCTTATCCAGATGCTATCTGCCTTTGTTAATGCTGAATATGGTAACTGGGATGATCATTTGCCATATGATCTAATGGCATATCGTGCAACAGCTCAGAAGAGCACTGGGTGCAGCCCCAATTTAGTCATGTTGGGAAGGGAGACAACTTGCCCTTTAGACATTGTTATGGGAGTTCCCTCCCCTGAGCAATACCCAGTTTGTCCAAACCTATATGTCAATTGGTTACAACACAGTATGTGTACCACTTTTGACTTTGTAGCAAAACATTTAAAAGTAGCTGCTGAAAGGCAGAAAAAATATTATGGCTTAAGGCCACGTAAATATGATGTGGGTGACTTTGTCTGGAGGTGGTATCCTCCCGCAGTGTCCTGCAAATTAGGCAAGGGTTGGACAGGTCCCTACAAAGTGGTAGAAGTGAAATCCGCACTGACATATATTATACAGACTAAACCCAGTTCACGACCCACAACTGTACATGTTGACCATTTAAAGCCGTTTGAAGGGGGGTTCATTCCTGGGGCTTGGAGAGGAGAAGGTAATATGGAAGGTGAGTTGATGTCTGACATATCTGTGTCTCCCCAAGTCAGCAATGACGTTGACCTTGATGATGACCTTGACATTGGCCATGACCTTGACTGTGACAATGACCTTGGCAGGATGGATATTTCTCCATGTCAGCCTCCTTCAATAACTCCTAGAACCAGTAGATTTGGCAGGAAAATAAAGCCTAAAGTTCCTTTCAGCCCAACCATGTAGTTTTCAGATACCGTCCGTCGTGATTGTCTTGTCTTTCGTTTGGTGGTGTTCTTGTCCTATCGTTTATATCTGCAATAAAGTGACATTTAGGGAATATTAATTTTATTTCTTGCTGAGTTTCAAAAAGTGATGTATTTTTTTTTATATTAGAATTTCGACTAATAAGGCTGGGTGAGAAGGATTTAATCTTGGTTCCAAATGCAATTAAAAAGGAAAAAAAATTGTAGAAATGGATATATTGGAGATAGAAGTACCTGTCACTGAGTTAGGTGATATCCAGAGGGACACCAGACCAATCTGGGTGCCCGGTGTCATGCCATGCCTCATCCCTGTCTGTAGCCAAGGGGTTATCAGGACCTACGCCGCTATGCTCCGGCACTGGGCGGAAATCCATGCTCGGACGGTACTGAGGGTGCATTGTCCCCGCTGTACCTATTTTCATATTAGGGTCAAACAGGTGACTCGGCATCTTAAATTCAGGCACCATGTGGAGTCTGAGGAAGCCAAAAGGCTGATTTATGCAGCAAAAAGGGAGCGGGTGATGAACACTAAGTTCGTGTCCTCAGGAGGGGTCCAAATCCCGATCCGGTCAGCAAGCCCAGCTGCGAATGAGGATTCTGAGGAGCCAGCAATCCCTTTGGATAGTCTTTTGACATATGTGGACGACATGTGGCACTAGGTGAAGATAAGGGGAACATTTAAAGGGCATGACCGCTCCGACTGTCTAAGGGAAAGGAAAAGAAAACAGTAAGTAGCAGTTGTCATGTGTTTGTGAGCGAGCCCTTACTGCGAGCTGTAAATAGTATTTACTATGAGTGAACTTTGGAAGATTTTTGTATTTAATTTTTTAGTATTTGTGTAGTTAATTTTTTTTTGATAAATTTTTATTTTGTTTGTTAAGTTTTTACTTTGTTGGGAAAGGAAAGGGGACAACTTTTATATACAGGTTGTTAGGGAATATATCCCGGAACCTTTAATGAATCATTTAACATTTATATCTATACAGCTATAAATGTGGTTAAATTAATATTGTTACATTTATATTATCGCCGTTGATAATTTAGAGTAGCAAATATTTGATGGACCATAATTCATTGAAATTTTGTTATTCGCGTGTGTTTTATGTAGAGAAATAATAATTATTTTTCTAAAAAAAGAAAGGGAAGCGTGTGAGAGTTGTGTTTTGTTTATGAAAGGATTTTGGCCAGTGGTGTGTTGTATGTGAGTGGTACGATGGGGGTGCGGTCGTATGGTGATATTGAATGGGTAATGCGATGGTTGTGTGAGGGTGGAGTGATCGCTTTGTATGTATATATACCTTTTGTCTGTTAACAATGTATTTGCCTCTGCTGGGGCTCATATGCTGTCACTTGATTTGTCCATGATGCTCGTGCCGTCTGCTTATAACTATTTCCGGTGCTGTTCTTAAGTGTCACCGAAGTCGATTGGCTGTCTCTCATTTTGTCTGTGATTGGCTGCCGTTATTTCTATAAATACGGCAATACACGTGCTTTTCGGGAGTTAGGTAGTAGCTCCCTGAGCTGAGTCCAACTCGTCCATCTCTCTCTCTCGTCTCGTCAGCTTGACGGATCTGCTTCCTGCAAGGTGGGTGTCTGAATGTGTTTGTGTACTGTCCATATGTCTTGTCGTGTCCAGGGCGAAGCCAAGTAGCTGACCCTTTTGTATGTTATATGTCCCCGCGGCGGCCGTAGGTAAGGGCCTCGTCCTGTCTGCACTTGTTAAATGTTTCCCTCGCGTAATAAACTACTTAATATTTTCTTTGTGAGTTGTTTATTTATTTACATGGAACCCCAGAATAGAACCTGGGTCATCTGTATACGAGGAACGGGGATATTACTCCTACATAAGTTCAAAAACTGTAAGGAATCAATTACGTGAATTTGGTGTAAGAGCACGTCGCCCCTACGTAGGTCCACACCTTAATCCCAGCTCGACGTCAGCATCGTATGGCCTGGGTCGCTGCACATGCTCCACGACGGTTTCCACTGAGGCAGTGGAGACAAGTTTTCTTCACGGACGAGTCTCGATTCTGTCTTTATCGATCTGACAGCCGTCAACGTGTCTACCGACGTCGTGGCGAACGTTTTACGGACGCTTGCGTTGTAGAGAGGGATAGGTGTGGGGCGGTTCATTAATGGTGTGAGGAGGTGAGATGAGATCCTCCGACCCCGTGTTATCCCTTTCTTACAGCAGCATAATCTAACCCTCCAGCAGGATAATGCTAGGCCCCACGTAGCAAGGATTTGCCAAGTCTTTCTGGCCAACAACAACATTCAACCACTAGATTGGCCGCCATATAGCCCTGATTTGTCCCCGATCGAGTATCTTTGGGACCAGTTGGATAGACAGGTTCAAAAGCGCCAGCCAACCCCTGCTACTCGAGAGCAGTTGACCAGAGCTCTGATTGAAGAGTGGGACAACATCCCCATAAGACCGATTAACGCTCTCATGAACTCTATAACCAGAAGAATAAAGGCCGTGACCACAGCAAACGGCGGACACACAAAATATTGATGACTCAGTTCAATTTCAATTTCAAAATCCTATGGGTCCATTCAATTTAATCGTTAGTACCTCTAAACCAATTGTCAGATTCAAAATACAGACTTTTGAAATGTTTAAGCTTTAATTTATCTGTAAGTATACAAAAGCCCGATATCATACTTAATTTCTGGTTTAAAGTTCACCCTGCGTTTCTTTATCCTTTCAGTATATAAACCTGTATATTATAAAATAGATAGAGATCCTCATTTCGCAGCCTGATTTCCTAGTGTCAAGATACCCTGCCGGTCAACTTCGAATGCATTCGAGAAGGACACTCGTACAGTCTCATTTGTGCACCCACAAATGCCCAATTAATACTGAATGCGTGACGCGTCAGCCGTACAGATCAGAGTTGATCTCTTTTGAAAGCGAGATTGACAACTCAAGGGATCCCTCTGGAGGAACTATCTAAATAACAAAGGTCCTCGCGGAACGCTGGCAACTGTTGTCGGCCCTCAGATTATCTGCAGGAAAGCGCTAACTGGCCCTCAACATGCACATACCTTTCTCCTATACCTCGCTCCATTCACGCAGAAATAACAGGACACACACAGATGCTCGCTAAGTATACACCCGTTTCTGACCGTCTGGATGGCGCGACATGGTCACGAGTCCATAGGCAACAACTTTCTTTCACAGGCCCATGAATTTCAATTGAAAGCAGTTCAAAGCTTATATTTATCACTTGTGATTTATGATCCAACTACACTTAATTTATAAAAAAATAATCAAAATTTCCCGCCATAATTGTCTAGAGACCTGTCAGCAGACTTACCGTTTTTTTCCCGCGTAAAAGATAGTGTGCTGGATATAAGTATACACATTAAAATATTCAATGTACTAACAAAGTTTAATACACATGAACAAACGGACAATACATATTTCAATGTTTAATTCAATTGTCATCTGCAAAAGGTAATATTACAATCTTATAATTTTGTCAAAATCGCGGATGAGTGCACTCAGCGATTGTGTAGTGTTACAACAGAGGTAGCCCAGGTCTCATCCTTCCACGTGTTTACCAGCGACGGTTAAAAACACAGTGTTCAAACGAAGAATTGGTGAAGAAACCTGGTGCTGACATTACATTTTTTGTGTTTACATTGTTTGAGGTGAGTGCTACGGTGCGATTTTTCGGCTGTATCTTCTCAGAGGTGGGCGGTGACTCGACAGCTTGACAGGATGACAGGGCTACCATTTCTATCGGACGTGAGACAGTGGCCGAGGGAGCAGGGCTTTTAGTTTCTATCATGGCAGATAGTGTGTCGCTAATGTTCTTCTTTTGGTGTGTGGAAATGGAACGATTATAGGACCGCAGTGATGACTCACACCGATGATCCGGCATAAACATAATATACTTTGCCTCAAACCCAGTATCATTAAAAAACTTTTTTTTTTAAATAACATGTGTATGTTGATATAGCTTGCTTCACGGTTATGAAAAAAACTGACATAATTTGTAAACGTTTCGTTGTGGTTGTACTTTAATTGCCAGTGACAAATTATTGTAATTGATTATCACAGATGCAATGGATGAGCATATAGAAATCGACAAAATTGAGAAAAAAGCTCTCAATTCTCAACGTGAAGGTGATGATTACCTTGAAAACAGAAGTGACGTCTCCCGTGATGTATGGGCACGAAAGGTGGAATATCTGCTGGCTCTAATCGGTTTCTCTGTGGGGTTAGGCGTGGTATGGCGGTTTCCTTACCTCTGTATGAGGAATGGAGGAGGTAAGTGGATTCTGAAATATGCCAGTCTGCTAATATGTATTAATGTAATGAGCCAAGAGAAATATAGATGAAATATATAGCAATGCTTGCAACGTATTCATTGTAGACACATTTTAAAGTAGTAAACTCAATTTTGGTATTTGTATTAAGTGTTTGGAGACTGATTGAAGATATTATAGAGGTTTTACTTCATGTTTAGATCAGGACTACTGGTTAGCCTGTTGTCAATTAAATGTAATATGATGAAGTGTCGCGGGACTGTGACTTGGTCCAAATATCACAATATGAAGACACTGTTAAATGGTCCCATTGCCCAATCGAGGCAGTCTTTCTACGATCTCAGTGCCTTTAAATACGTAATATTAAAGACCAAAAGTTCTTTCAGAAGATTCGTTAGGTTGGTATATTATGTTCGTGGTCTCGAACTAGCTAGAGTGACATGATGACAACAATCGTGGATGATGAGGTCGCTCTTGTGTCATCCTTGAGGGTCATGCGTGGAGCTTTGGACACCTGTATGACAGTCCATTTGGTCACGATATACAATTTTGTATGTAAACATTTTCATGGTTAATTGGTTTCTGGTGTCTGTACCTGCTTCACGACATTACATAGTAATGACTCTACAAAATGTCCTATTTAAGTGGTCATCGTGTTAACATCAATGACATGTAACATGTAGTCGGTTGTACTATGAGTTAAACAAGCTTTCTGGAATGGATATACGTATGTTCCAATGTTTCCTTCCAATCCAAGTACACAACTTGTGGCATTTCCTTTAGGTTGATGATGCGATATATGTATATATCTACACATATATATTTCTCTCTATAACCTGTTTACATCTCGTCACACAATTTTTGACCTTGGTGTACATAGGATTATAGTATATACAAAAAGGTCGAATGCGTACGTCGGCACACGGCCAGTACCCATAACATTGTTCATTTGTCTTGTGCAGGTGACCGTGTAGTCATCGAAACGTCACATTCAGATTTTACTTAACATTTATTCTATAGCACGGTTTCTCATGCCTTTTAACATTTCTACTTCTGGTTGTGTTATAAGAACAGCTATTCTATAGCACGGTTTCTCATGCCTTTTAACATTTTTACTTCTGGTTGTGTGATAAGAACAACTATTCTATAGCACGGTTTCTCATGCCTTTTAACAATTTTACTTCTGGTTGTGTTATAAGAACAACTATTCTATAGCACGGTTTCTCATGCCTTTTAACATTTTTACTTCTGGTTGTGTTATAAGAACAACTATTCTATAGCACGGTTTCTCAGGCCTTTTAACATTTTTACTTCTGGTTGTGTGATAAGAACAACTATTCTATAGCACGGTTTCTCATGCCTTTTAACATTTTTACTTCTGGTTGTGTGATAAGAACAACTATTCTATAGCACGGTTTCTCATGCCTTTTAACATTTTTACTTCTGGTTGTGTTATAAGAACAACTATTCTATAGCACGGTTTCTCAGGCCTTTTAACATTTTTACTTCTGGTTGTGTGATAAGAACAACTATTCTATAGCACGGTTTCTCATGCCTTTTAACATTTTTACTTCTGGTTGTGTTATAAGAACAACTATTCTATAGCACGGTTTCTCAGGCCTTTTAACATTTTTACTTCTGGTTGTGTTATAAGAACAACTATTCTATAGCACGGTTTCTCAGGCCTTTTAACAGTTTTACTTCTGGTTGTGTTATAAGAACAACTATTCTATAGCACGGTTTCTCACGTTTATTAATTGTTTTCTTCTCTTTGTTTTCCTAGGTGCTTTCCTGATTCCGTTTTTCATTTTTATGTTCATCTGTGGATTTCCACTTTATTTCATGGAATTAAGTCTTGGACAGTTTTCCGGGAAAAGTCCATTGGTACTGTGGTGCATTTGTCCTCTATTTCAAGGTGAGTTAGAAATCATACATAGATTGTAATCGTATCGGTCCTGTTTTCAACCATATGTAGAATTTTTGTCGTTGCAGATCGGGATATATGCAAAATATCGACCTACCATTGTGTATGTCTAATGTTTCCAAATAGATCACAAAGTGCTCGGATGATTCGGTTTCCTGTCAGTGCTTCCATATTTAACAACTAATAAAGTATGTAATACATGGAAGGTATTGATAGTACATTAATGTTGAACTGCAGTAATAGCTAAATATCAGCTAATACATAAATCTATAACGACTGGACAGAATAGAAGTTCTTATAACACAACAAGTAGAAGATAAGAGAAGTGATGTTTTGATAACTACACGGTCACCTTCACCAGATAAAATGTTTTTGGTTACGTAATAGAACGGGCCCCAGCATCGCTCTGACTAGATATCATTACAGAGTTAATAGTAAAAGCTGACACCTCGTAAAAACTTCTATCCTATTACACAAAATATCATGTTACGTCCATACTGCTTTACAAATAGATTTTCACATGACTCTGCATAATCACGAAGGTGAATGGGGTAATATTTCGTGACCAACCAGATATCAAAAGCATTGGGGTCTGGAGGACGAAATCATAAAAAGGTGACTGAGTTTCTCGCGAACGATGTCTTCGTCGAGTTGGGTGGTATGATCTTCCAACAGACTATTGCCATACCTATGAGAACTATCTGTGCCCCTTTGTTGGCTGACTTGCTTTTGATTTCATACGAGGCTGAATCTATCGAAGAGCTATAAAAACCGGTCGCAAAGACTGTTCAATGTCAGATTGCCTGATTTGAACCACTCGACTGCGCTTATTCATGACAATGGTTCATATAACGAATACTGTTTTGCAAACTTGTATACGTTTCTAATTATCTGCTTGTGTTTTTTTTTTTTTTTTGCAGGTTTAGGGTTTTGTATGGTAACGATTTCGTTCATAATAACCTTGTACTATGGTCTAGTAGTGGCTTGGATTCTCTGTTACCTGTTCTACTCTTTCTATCCGACGTTACCCTGGGCTTCATGTGATAATGCGTGGAACTCCGATAGCTGTGTCGTTCTTCGTTCAGCGAACCCGACAAATTCGTCAGGTTTCAAAACCCCGAATAGAAGCGAATTCCTGAATACATCATATGTAGTATCGGAGCCCATCAGTATCAATGCATCGTCTTCTCAGGATGTAAACACGGACTTCTATCCAACCGCAGCAACAGAATTTTGGAGGTAATGCTGATCTGTTGTTTGGAAACAAAGTTCTTGCAACATCTATGACCATGAAATGGATTAACGTGGGGTTTGGTGAAAACAACGAAAATTGAATAATAATAACATACAAATTTGCTGGAATCGTATTAGTAAACAGTGTCATCATGTTTACAGCATTTTTATTTCTTATTTTCATCGATGACATCATTAATGATATTACTTACGAAACCACAAAGAAGAAAAGGAATACGTTTTACGTTTATATGTTCATGAAACGGGAGAAGATGTCGTTATAACACATCTGAATTAAAAAAAATGAAAATAGCAAGCGCAAAGTTAACACGAGATCACCTCAGGATAGGGACGAAACTCGTAAAATTTCCTTGCTTCGACAGACACTCAATATAAAAGCTAAACCAGGAAGAATGTTGAGAAATTTAGAGGCGTATCTGTCTTTTTTCTTCTGTTTAATATAATATTTTTATGGAGTAGACAGTATTCAATTACAAACTAAGTATCATTAAAATAAAGATCAAAGTAGATAAAAATCTGTCAAGCTAAAATTAATGAGGCAGTCTTTCAGCATAAACATCTGCATGTGATAATGATGTTATAAAGATATACAACAGTGAATTTCCATACAAATTTAAAATTAGATGCGGTGAGCCGAGTAGTGAATTAGACTGCATTTTACAACTTTTTTGACACGTCAGTGATACTAAATATCTAAATCATGATGCTAATTCTAAGCGACCAAGGACAATCGAAATTTGTAAAAATAATAAGATGATAACCTCCCAATTGGTTTTTGACCCCACCTCTCCAAACGCCCACTAACCCCCGCAAAAAAAAAAAAAAAAAATCCCAAACGTACTGGGTTTATTACAAATAGTGTAGGTTGTTAACATTAATGTTTAGTCATGAACTAAGAAAGCTGTTTGATGCAGTAAACAACATTATTTGGTTCTAGAGTATTTAATTCTAATTTGTCTTTTGTACAATCTTCAAGTACTGTACATGTGCATACTCTAAACCGTGCACAAATGAATTAGAATGTAGCATGCAGGTAACGGCAACCGTGGGATGTAAATTCTATTAGAAGAGTGTATTTCCTACAACAAGCACGAAAATACACACATATGAATAACATCTTTCAGTAAAATCTTTTAAAAAGTATCGCAATTTTTACATCGGTCCATGACGAATTGCTGCGAAGACGACACATATGATAATATAGCAATGACATACTCGTGGTTAGAGAGGTTTTTATTCAAACCGTATAACATATTGTGTTTTAAAATATTGCTACGTTCTTTACCTATATTAAGTTTTGTTTAGTTTTCGCGACGAGTTCTTCACTTATCAGTTGTAGATTAGCAAAACAGGTCAGGAGAGCTCTCGTCAACTTTAGAACATGTTAACATTTATAGACTTCACAATATCATTCACAGTGTATATCATAGGCTTCACAATATCATTTACAGTGTATATCATTTTACAATATCTGATATATTTTCATCAATAGATACCAAATTCTCGGTATATCATCTGGCATTGATGTTATCGGTACACCACAATGGCATCTCGTCCTTGCTTTGTTCCTCGCGACATTTGTGACCTTCCTGTGTGTTGTCAAGGGAGTGAGGTCAGTTGGTAAGGTAAGTGTACCATTAACTTTAGTGCGCAACAACATTTGTTAAAATCTACTACGAATGAACACACAAACATAAAAAGACAAGTATCTTGTTTACATCAAAGTATATATACAAAATCTAGGAATAGCACAGTTTCATGTAACATTATAGCGTCTGTAAAACAGAATGGAACATTATCGATAGTTCAAATTTTCATAGTTTCAGCAAAGGCCACTATAAAAAAGCATTTTTCATGAAAGTAATCAAATGGACACTAGAATTATCTATTGATGTTGTGTTCAAGACATTTTATCTTATGCACGAATACAGCGGAATATCTCGTAAATAACACCCTCCAAAATAGATCCAAATCCACCTCCTCCAAAGTTCTGAAGTTCCATACATTTAATCACAGTTTATGAAAACTCAATGTGAATAAAACTTCGCCACTTACCTGACGCCATCTTCTTCACTTCAAAAGACCTAACCTTTTCTGAGAACAATCTAAATGTCAGTCTTCAAACCATTATACCTATATACACTTAGCCGAATTATCTTAATGAAGGCCGAATTAAGAATTAATAAACACCGGTATTTAATCCATATTATCATCCGTGATTGTGTTAAAACAGGTGGCGTACGTCACATCCTTACTACCCTATGTCCTCCTAACCGTCATCCTGATTCGGAGTCTGACGCTGGAAGGATCACTAACGGGAGTTTTATATTATATAAAACCGGACTTCTCCCGACTTTTAACTACAAAGGTAACATTTGTATTTACTAGTTTTAATACATAATGTCGTTCGCCGACTCATGAACATCCGAATATACTTAATTGTAGAAACAGCACAAATATATTTCAGTCGAGAGATAATATTTTTCCATATATGAGATTCACGATATTGCGACGGATAATTTCATATTAATATAGATTACACTTTTGTTGTGTTGGGAAAAATCCTGTATTACGGAATACAAAGGTTCATAACATGCATAATCAGTGGCAACTGATATCACATTGTTTAGGTATGGTTTGAGGCGGCGCTGCAAGTGTTTTATTCATTAGGACCAGCCTATGGTGGGGTGATTACCATGGCTAGCTATAACAAGTTTCACAACAGGTGTTTAGGGTAAGTTATATACTGAATATATCCGGAGATTAATTATTGTCCCTACGTGATTGAATTGACGATAACCCAGTTCTTAATACAAATCATTTACAGTAAGAACTGGGTCCGTATTCATGAAACCATTCTCATGCTCAAGCATAGATTTTGTGCTCAAGCAAACTTTTTTTTACAATTTACCTAAATAATATAAAATAATGCTAATGTCAATTTTAAACCTTTAATTAGCTTGACTTGAAGTCCTTTCAAAATTGTTTTTAAATCTTCGACAAAATAAGCATTACTTATTTATTTTTAACTTAAACAAGACATAAGGCTTGAGCACAAAATTCATACTTGAGCATAATAAAGGTTTTATAATTACGGACAATGGAGTATGGTTTGGTTTTATTACAGTGATGCGGCCTTATGCACCGCGGTGGATTGTTTCAGCAACTTTTATTGTGGCTTTGTTGTGTTCAGTATTCTCGGATTTCTTGCTCATGAATCCGGATTATCGGTTGAGGACGTTGCAGAAGGAGGTAACCGTACCACATGTCAAGACTTATTTTCATGTATTTCTACATAGACTGTTACTTTAACCGCAAACCAGAAAATTATGTCATTGAACAACTTATATATCCTAATTCAATACTGAAACTGAAATCGAAATAAATATATTATTTTAATCATCTCAGAAATGTGCAGTTTAAGGTTGAAAACAAAAATGAGTACAAAAATACAATCGAACAGATTTCTCCTTTAACACCCTCAAATATCCACGACGAAAATCCAACCTATAGCAACTTGGTGTATTTTGCAGGGCCTGGTCTAGTTTTTCAGGTCTATCCTGAGGCTTTATCCAGAATGCCTTTACCTCACCTTTGGTCCATCCTTTTCTTCGTGATGCTCTTCGCTGTAGGTTTGGATAGCCAGGTAAAGAGCATATCAATTTTATTGTATCGTGTCAGATCTATTTCATTGATTATATCGGTAATATAACTTGGTATGCAGTACAGTTTTTTTTTTTCCATTTTTGTCCAATTTGATGTTTCGTTATGGCACTGTGTGACATCTGCCTGTCACATTATTTTATTTCTGTGATAATAATAATATCGAGAGAGGTAGGCATAGTGAAATGCTGCAAAATTATTTAATCTTATAATTTACCCGTATTAAAGTTTAATGATGGATACATGTGATTTAATTACCAAGGATCCTTGTGTAATGTGTTCCCTTGGTATGGTCCATCGTTGTCTTAATTTCATAAGAAATCACATCGAAAATACGTCTTAAACTGAATTTAAAGAACCCTGCAAGGATTTTTACGTGTTCAGTAATTCAGCTTAATAATTAATAAAAAATGATGTAAAGTTTTATATTAATGAATTTTACCTAGGAGAAACATGAGGTAAACATAAATTAGAACGATTGCATGCGAACGTTAATGGTCCATTGAACATCGTTTGAATGAAATATCCAACATGACCGAAAAATGACCGAAGTTATATGTAGATTTGTATGGCATAATAGCTCTCTAAATCAGAATTTCACTATTAATTTTTTTTCTTTGTCTTTTTGCTTCAGTTTGGACAAGTGGAAACCATCATTGGAGGATTGCGGGATATGTACCCAGGCTCGTTTGGGAAAAGAAAAAACCTTTCGCTTCTGATTGTATTCTGTGTCGTTTTCCTTTTAAGTCTGATTTTTGCTACACCGGTGAGTTTGTTTTCTTCATAAACGAATCGAATTGATGAAAAGTTTGACGTTCGGGGCATCACTTCATACACTACTTGTATTTATATTCCTGCTCTTTTGCTTGGCCTTTGTGTTGAACATCTTTTACATTCAGTACATACACTACTTCCAAGAGTATTTATTTTCCAAATATTTTGTTTGGCCTTAGTGTTGAACATCTTTTACATACTTAGCATTCCGATATACAATACGTCCTATTTATGTCTGTGATTTTTGTTTTGCCTCAGTTTTTAAAATCCTCTCGAACGATGAGTATTATTGGCTTTTATGCCCTTTTACCCAGACCAAATTTCGTTAAAGTAAATGTACTATATGAATCAAAAGAGATTCCAGAAGGAAGCAGAACTGGCCATTTCTGGCGGAAGAACATGCCAGTTTGCCAACATATATAGTCCTAAAGATTATCTCATATTCAGTTGACGTCTTCAACAGAATTTATTAAGGTGATGTGCTCAACTGAATATGGCCCTTTATAAAGAAAGGTTGTCTCTTCAATAGAATAGCTCATTATATATTTAGTCGACCTCATTCTACAGATACCATCTTTAAATGACTTATCTATAATGTGGCGTAGAATAACCCAACAACAGTTCGATGCAATATTTCTATATTTCAGGGAGGAGTTTTTGTGTTTACATTGGTTGATTGGTATTCCAGTGCTTACTGCATCTTCCTGACATCTTGTTTTGAATGCATTGTAGTTGGATGGATATACGGTACGAAACGATATCACATAATTCGCAGTATTTTCTTCATTCATGAGTAAGTTTGATGATTCAAGTTAATGGTTTAGGTAGTTATTATTTTATCTTTTGCAATGTGGGCATATAACTGATTCGTTGTCAGTATAATGCGACGTGGTATAATGTTACCAGATAAGGGATTTCACACTATAAAATGACCCTGTGCCTTTTCGCATCCTCAATAGATACCGTAACATCTTAGCTGATGCTGTCCTTAAAAGGAACGTTGTTGGATACCGTAATCAATGTTACAAATACGCGGTACAAAGCCCAAACGTATGTTGAAGACAGATACTTTTATATCAGGATAAAATACTTTCTCTAATACGATAACCTACTTACATTATAAGTGAACGAAATAATCTTTTCCATTGTTATCAGGTAAGAAACGCCGACCGGAAATTGCTCGGAAATATCCGTCATAACGTTAATTTGAAGTCTTTACATAACTGATTTTTACTATTGCTGTCAATATATGACGGAAAACTCCAAGTAATGTTCTTGTGATTATTGGATTGTAACACGAGCGTTGTCTGAATCTTTCATTTATTTCAATATAACTGGTTGCATTTTAAACATCAGAAGACATCCAAAACGTACTAATGCGAAATATCATGTAGAGGTCTTCTCATTCGAAGAGTTAGTGAATATACACCACATCCCCTGACGCGATCTGTTTGAAATCGAATTCCAATTCACACTGATGATATAAGAATTACTCGGGATCAGTAACTTTAGAAAAAAAAATACGTAAATGACATAATTGACTATTATATACAGAAAACTTACTTTCTTCAATGTCTTTTTAAAATTTTCCTGTCAGCTTAGAATTTTTAATAATTTACAAGTTATGATGATCACAAACTTTCAACAAATAACACGCCTACAGAGGAAATTTCTGACCTGAAATATTTTTGTTTGTCCATGATAACTCTCATAACGAATATATTTATATAGACTTGAACAAATATCAATGACCGTGCCCCCCTATCATGGGTGTTTTATTCCTAGTGTATATTTGCTTCCATGATCTATTTACCAAAATCGAACGAAAAATTGTGTATTTATAGAGTCCAACGTGTGTAGTTAAGTGTATATGAATGTAATTAAAAGAAACCTTTTAAGACACTTGTTTTTGATAATTTTTTAAATATGTAGGTGCAGAACGATTCAGCAGAGACGTGGAAGTAATGACTGGTAGAAGAGTTCCATCTGCCATACGTATATCATGGTGCATAGTTACACCCCTAGCCACCTTTGTAAGTACATTCAAAGATTCAGGTAGCCCGTCGATGCATAATTTTATTCCTAGCGCATGTAAAGTAATATTCCTTCTTACAAGGGAATATCATAATCATTTCACCGGACCTGAATATATCAAACAACAAACTTTTCTTCTGTGGGCAATATACGATATCAATACATTTTATTCTTCTCGTCTCTTTTACATGCCGGTATTATCCTGGTGTCTATATTATAAAAGTGAATCAGTATTAGTAATAAGAAGACATGAGCGTTCAATTTAAAAATGTTGAACAGTTCATGGACACGTTTGGTGCTAGTTTGTGTGAATGATGGTTCAAATGTTGTTAACCTTGTTCTCATTTGGGAACATGACATTACTCTTATTTAAATTGACAAAGATTTATATGGCGGCTATTGGCGATGAAACAAAAGATGTTTAACCTTGCAGAACATCTGGTCTTATTGTTCTTGTATTTTGTCAGTAGTCTACTGTAAATATTACCTTTGTTCAAATTCTGTCCTAGTTTCACCACATTTGAGTTTCAATTACGATTTTGTGTACATTTGTGCTACCTTTGTTGTATTGGCTGTCCGTGTTTCGCTACACTCGTTTTACACATGTTTGTATGCTGAGAGTGTTAACACAATTGTCAACAATGTAAAAGGCAGGTATCATTATCATTGGTTCGTATGTCAAAATTGTAACATGTATAATTATATTGATTAATAAATGTTATCAATTTTTTAACAGATTGCGTTTCTTGCAAGTCTATTATCATTGGAAATCCCGCGATATAGTGAGTACATCTTCCCAAGCTATACGCAGGTTTTAGGAGTTTTTATAGCACTACTTGCCGTGATGCCAATCCCTGTGATAGCCCTGAAAGGTATTCTACGGGCTGAAGGTCCCATAAGAACGGTATGCATTACAGTTGCTTGAAGTAAAATTATGATAATTGATAACTTGACTGATAACTTCAGTTAGACGTTTGTCAAGTTTATTAATCTTGCTGAATTCAACTCTGTATTTTTTTGTTTTTGTATGATTTTACGGCAGCGTTACAATTTAACAAAGACCATACAATTATTTCTGTATCGCAATGAGTGGTCAATTTAAGAACGTTGTGCTTCAGGGTTGTCTGAAAAGTGTTTATATTAAGTTCCATTATGATTTTCCTAAGTCGTCTCCTAGCTGTGAATATCTTGTTCCTTAACATTACTGACGGGTCCAAGACAATCGAGATAGTTAATTGACGCAGTTTTATATGTGTGTATTCTTATATGTATTGTATCCAGTTCTGTACTGAAATGTAATTCACTGCTTTCAGACAAAACTTAAATTGTTTCAAGTAGTTTCTATCCAACAGAAAAAAAAACTCTGAGATATTCCCTGGAAAACATATTCATTAAAATGCTGTATATTCTAGAATGTTTTCATCGAAACTTAAAACATTCATAAAACCACTGAGAGTCAGATTTACAAATAAGTATTCTCATCTTTGACCTATTTTTGTTTCAGAGATTGACCAATACGTTAAGACCAAATAACCAATGGATACCAAATGATACTGTTGCTCAATTGACCTACGAGGTATATGAATACACAGGCAGATTTTGGGAAGATTTTAAAACAAACATATTTGGACCACCTTTGTGCACTGGGGATGTATGAACTGTATAAAATATAATAGACAATAGAGATTTTTATACTGCTTATACGAATTCTCTCGCTCTACTGATACTGCCCCTCAAATATCATTTACAGTCCGGTATTTAGGTATCATTATGTTATGTTTATATATATATATATATATAGTGTCAATAAAGTACCAGCGAGAAACGGTATTGCATATACGTTTATTTAGTCGCTGAATTAAAAACAATATATCAATATAGATATGTTATGTTATTGCTTCTTTGCTTGTCATGTTTATTGCATAGTGAACAGCCATGGTCATTTCAAGGTCTCTTTTTATTGGTGGCAACTTTAATGAACAATATACATTTGAAACAATTGGGGAAATGTATCTTATGTATATCAATACACGGCAGCACAGTCCTGTTGTCAAAGAAACACAAATCAGCACAGTTACGGGGCGTGTCTAAACATGCAAATTAGGTTCTTACCTAATGCTTCACAGGCCAACGCTCTAACTGACTGTGTCATGGGGATCATAATTGTTTTATGATATTAATCTTCGTCATTATAAATTGTTATAGTGTTACCTAGCACAACGATAAAAATGATGACATATTGAAAACGAGTTTTTCGTCATAATATAGGTATTACGATAAATATACCCATGTAGAGAAAAGACTGCGACAGACAAAAGAACAGATATGATAATTTAGATCATAGAATATAAGTAAGCTATTGTTATAGGTGTGGGGGATTTTTTGCAAAATTTTTTGCATCATTCATGAAACAACATAATAATATAAGTAAATATCTATGATTAATTGAAAATTGAGATTATTTAAAAAACAATGATGTCAATGACAGCAGTCTTTGGATGATGATTTACTGATTACGTAGTGTATGCCCTAAAGTCCTCTATTTCTCCAAATTTTTACAAACCTCAAAGGCGAAGGTAGAAATCTATAAGATCAAATTGTAAGTACAATACAATTTAATACTTTGATAAAAACCATGGGAGAGCATATAGTCGCCGCTTTGTCCGTCCGCCCGTCCCTTCGTTTGTCTGTCCGTCAAAATGTTGTCCGGAACATGACACAAAAACTATAAGAGTTATCAACGTAAAAATTCATAGATAGATGCATCTCAACAAGGAGAAGTGCAGTGTACGAAAACCATCGCTTTTTTCATAAGTGAGGAATGATTGACCTTTGTTATTTTTTGTACTTATTTTTTGTCAGGAGTATTACACTAAACCTGTAAGAGGTATCAACATGAACCTTCATCAGGTAGATAAATCTCCACATGGCAAAGTGTATTGCACAAGAAACATCACTTTTTTTGCATAAGTTATTACTTATTTGTCTTTTTTATTTTTCATACTTATTTTTTTCCTATCAGGGAGCATAACCTGTCCCTACAAGCAATTGTTTATTATGTCCAAGCATTGCATACAGTTTCCTATATATGTTCATACTGCCTTCAATAGTGTTTCCTAATGTTCATAATAAACACGACCTTCTCCACTCCCTTCAATACACTCATGCCCTCTGATCAAAACACAACTTAATTTATAGGAGGTACATAATGCCAACCAGAGAAAAAATATCATGCTTTAGGCTAAAGATTAAAAAAATATATTACCCAATTTTTGACATACAAAATCCACGAAAAAAGGTTGTAGTAGTATACACTTTCTAAAAACCTCGGACATTATACTAATGTACAATGAAATCAGTAATTACACAATATGATCTGGGAAGTAAGACAACTTTCTCAGTATTTGGACTTTTACTTCAGGTCGTAACCAGAATCATTATGTGTGTTACTAAAGACAAAATTTGAAACAGCATAATGCGTCAATAACGATAATTCATATCAATTACTGTATCAATTGAAAATCTTGTTTTCATCAATATCTCAGTAACTATTAATGGTGTCAAAACGATTTAGGTGTCTACCCCCATGCTATAAGAGGCAACGAATCGGATGGAGAAATTTCAGTAAGGACCACACGGTATCAAGAGAAAAAAGGGACGTTTTACGCCATGTTTTAAGGGCCACAGAATCAGATTAGGCGATTCCATTAAACACCATGCAACTGTTATCTGCGAAATGTTCAAACGAGGACGTCCATCATTGGTAATATCAGCAGTAACGGCCATGTAAAGTAGAAACTTTTCTGATAATTAAGCAGTTAATCGCCTAAATTTATATGAAAGGGAAGGAACAGACGAACCGCAGTACCGTCGTTCTTCGGAGACGTTAAACCGTGTCAACGTCTACAGAGTTACCAAATCTGACAAGGTCTACAGAACTGAAAAACCTATATGAAGGTGAAAGAGTAGACGAATTGCAGCACCGTTATTCGGATGGACGTTGGACCACGACATTTTGTACAGTCACCCAAGCTGACAGGGTCATCCTAGCTACATTAACTGAAGGTGGAGAAACAGGTCATTCAGATGGTATGTGGAACTCGGACATCGTATAGATAGATTTGTTAGATAACCTGAGTTCTTTTTGTCACCTTCAGTAATTGATCAGCAAATAATAATCAGAATAGAAACAACAATATATCTTCAATGTACAGTTTAGAAATTGAAGAGTGTTGCTTCTTCTGTGCTGAAGATGGAAGCAAGAAGGACCTTAGCGTAGCAAGCATTGATAGGATACAGACTATCATTGAATCAAGGTAACGGAGATGTGATTTTCTCCATGATAATTTCCGCAAACATTTAGAGGACCTTAGTCATAGATACTGTGTATTTACATGTACATCCAAAACGCACATCAACAGGCACTTGAATAAGCTCATCTCATCAAAATGTTCCAAAAAGACATCACCTGCATGCAGCATTGCCTTTTCTGTGGCGAGGAATGCTTCGACATTAATCCAAAGCATCCAGATCGGTGGAGAAGGGTTGTTCTTTGTAGGATAGCAGACCGAGGTGAGGGGAGGAAGATTGATAAGGAAACCCTTCTAGATATCTGCAGATCTCGTAAGGACAACTGGGGACGCGCAGAAGAGACACGTTTGGCTGAGGCACTGAGTGATCTGCATGCAGCCGATGGAAGATACCACATAGACTGCTACAAGAAGTGCTGTTCATCTCGGTCAGTGACGTAAGCTTATGTAGCACTTAGTAGCAGTTAACAGGAGGTGGATGAGGCTTTTGAAACGTCAGTCAATACACTGGGAGCAGAATCATCGCGAGTTTGGAATTCCGTCGATTTATACGACCTATACCAGTCAAATGGCGGAGAAGGCATTAGACGCCGAACTTTAGTCTCCAGGTTGTTAGATTACTTTGGGTCGGATCCTCTCCTGCTGGGTGGCACAGGTGTTGCTAGTGTTGTTGTGCTTCGAAGGAAAGCATTAGGTTTTTTTAGGCTAGTGCCGAGCAGTGATGAAGATGATATTGGGATTGGACTTGTAAAAAAATGCCAACCAGATTGTCTATGATGTAACGGAATCAAAAAAAATATCATGCCAGAGTCAATATGGACATTGCCCTTGACTGTGTCAGTGCCACTTTGTTATCATTGCTGTCAAACTTTCCACAAAGTTGGACCACACTTTACCAGCCGCTCTCATTTACAACTGTTACAAATGCCATAAGCGGTAGATAGAGTCACAATCCTCCAGACTGAACTTGACTTGTGGTCTTACAATGGAAAGACCAAGCACTGAACGAACTACTATAGACATTGGGGCCACTGCAAATGAACATGGACACTTGCTGTCACAACTGCCTTTCAGGCTGTGACACTGTCGCTCAGTGCTTCGGAATAGGAAAAAACACAGTCATCAAAGTTCTCAACAATAATATAGCACTGCAGAAATTGGGTGTACTATCTGAGGACATGGATGACATAACTCAAGAAGCAAAAGCATTCATGGCTGAATGCTACGGGATCAAAGTCTCGGTCACGTTGAACATGACTGAGGCCCGGGGAGAGAGTTCTGGTCAAGAAGGATGGGCAGAAAAAACGTAACAAAGGCCCCAGAGCTCAAGTCATTCCCACCTTCCCAAGAGTTATTCAAAGAGAATGTAAAGCATGTGTACACCCAAAGTGCCATTTGGAAGTCTGCTCTTGATTCAGAACCTCAAGCATTAGATTCTGTCCAGTTTTGATGGGAGCGTGACGACCGTACCCGATGCTTGACACAAGTAACAGTATAACCAGACGTCAGTGTTGCTCCATTTTAAGTGCTGGCAATGATAAGGTGTGTTTGAGCCACGAAAAATCCCTGTTCGACAACGATTTGTGGATGCTACTAAGCTCACCTGCCGTGCCGATGTTTTTATGCCACGGGGAAGTACACTGCCAGAATGAGCACATCCGACGTGTTGATGACAGCGACAATGTTTATTACTTGTTTGGTGACTGACAACATACATCAACACAAGTAATGTTCTTTGACAATTCACAAACACGCTTAAGTTGATTATCCATTATTAATACTGGAATAACCTAATCCGATGCTTAACCCCTTAGAACACAGGTATGAACACAAAAATTATTTTGATACCACGTGTAATTATTGAGATATTGACAAAAACAAGATTTTCAGTAATGGCCTATCATGTACTAAACTTCAATATGTCTATTCACCATACAATGATTGATGCGTCCTTCACTTATTCTGATTCTTCACCACTCAAAACATGGGGATAGACACCAAAATTATTTCGATACCATTCATTGTTACTGAGAAATTGATAGAAACAAGATTTTAAGTAATGGCGGCCTTCATTTGTACGGGCCGCGATGCACGCCTGATGGTATCTGCCACCAGACTACAAGGCAAGTAGAACTATGATACGCCGTGTCTACTAACACTATGTAAAGAGGCAATTTATATTACTGTAAAGCAATACGTTGTATATTTTTAAGGGATTAACATATGTTCTCCTTGGGTTCCAATGGGATTTTTGCAACCACAATTGTTTGATTTCCATTTGTACTTTAAAACTTTTACCTTCTTTATTTAATTAGGATAAAATCCTATGTAGCAAATACAATCGTCCTCAATGTCCTCTCTTAGTTATATGAAATATGAAAATTCCTCTTATGAAATAGCAATACTAATATATAAATGTAAAATAAAAGAAGATCGCTTGTCGGCCATTTTGATTTTCTTATCAGAACGAAAATAAAAAAGGCACATCTAAGGAACAAGGTGACCATACTTATGGAATTCGGGAAATATCTATCAAAATGGGCTCATAAACGGTCAAGAGAGCAAGGACGTATGGCGATTTTAATAGCTCAATATCTGATGACAGAGGGCTAAGATCCAAGACGAAAATGAAAGAGTTGAAACATCGAACATAAACAAAATACCATTCATAGAAGTTTATATAAAATTAATAGAAAATCATTGAAGCTATAATAACGATTGTCTTTTGATATCAAGGAATGTTCATAGTGATAATTTAAAGCCCCAATATACGTAAACATCACTATAAAAAAACAATTTTATCGTATTTTCCCCGTAATATATGTAACAAAACAAATACTTTCCTTTAATTAAAGAAAATAAAACTGACTGTTTTCAATTTAAATAAAAACTGAAAAAATCGGAAAATAAACAATGTGGGACCAACAATAATTCATACATTACCGCTCGTAGTGATGACATTGCGCATGCGCATATTCCGCGTGTGTAAACATAGCAGACACAGTACAGACGTTCACCAGTCGCTTCCTTTTTTTCCAATCATACATCAGGCCAGTTCTGAATTCTTACGTTATAATTGTGCGTCGTATCTGTTCTAAACTTATTATTCCTTCTAATAATTTCCCCAAAACGGAATGTTTATCACAGGAATACCTCAAGTCTACGACAAGACTTCGCAAACAAAAAAACATACCGTAGACATATCTAAATGTGCTTCCTCTATAAGTAGTAACCTCATCTCTCGCGAGATCAGGTCATGAACTCTCCGACGTGGTTCGGCAACAATCGTAATTTCGATGGCGGTGTGTTTAAAATGAAGGTGTGTTTACAAATAGCGGGTTTCAACTGCTCATATATCAATACTTTATGCACAAAGTCATGGTAACTATTGTTTGAATAACTTAATTTTAATTACATCTTAGAGAATATCTCATTAATTATGTGTGATTCTACACTTTGGTGAATGTTACGTATATTGGGGCTTTAATGGCAAATACTTGACAGAATAAATAAGAAATTAACAAAAAATTAGCACATGCATCAATTTGCTGAAAAGATTATCATAACGTGAGGTCGATATCCTTTTCATGGCATTAACAAGTGAAAGGTCAGTGCGAAGTCGCCAGTTACAGCCTATGTTTGAAGGAATGGTTTGGAATAAGGTATACTATGTTTTCTAGATATGTGAAAGACAGTGGTGAGTCTTAGATTTGATGGAAGAAAGATAGACGCTGCATCAAGTTTTTAATATGATGGATGAAAGAGAAAGTTTGAGTTAAGTCTTTAATATAATGGATGAAATAAGGACAGTGCGTAGTCGCAAGTACAGCCTACATTTGAAGGAATGGTTTGGAATAAGGTATAATATGTTTGTTAGATATGTGAAAGGTAAATACTGAGCTAGTCTTAAGTATGATTGATGAAAGATAGAGAAAGAGGTCAGTCTTTAATATGATGGATGAAAGATAGAGGATGCGTTAAAATATTTATTATGACGGATGAAAGACAGAGGATGAGTTAAATCTTTAATATGATGGATGAAAGATTGAGGATTAGTTAAAATATTTAATATGATGGATGAAAGATAGAGGTTGAGTTAAGTCTTTAATATGATGGTTGAAAGATGGAGGAAAGGTTATGTTTTTGATATGATGGATGAAAGGTAGAGGAAAGGTTATGTCTTTGATAAGATGGATGAAATGTAGAGACTGAGTTAAGTTTATAATATGACTGATAAAAAACAGAGGCGGAGACTTTGTTATGATAGATAAGGTAATGTTAATAACATTTAGTAATACTACCGTTAACTGTGTCTATGGTACAATGCCATCACAACTTTACTGCGGAGTACGTAATAAACAAATGTCATAATTATAAACATAAGCTATTTAGGGTGAAATAATTATCTTTATTTTACATAAATCTATAAAAAAAGTTTTGTTTTAATATAGCAATGATTAGGCAGTGCAGTGAATTTGAGAATTATGCAAACGTTATTTGTACCTGCTGCTATAAGTATTAGGATTCGTTGGTCAAAATACAGCAAACTACAGAATCAGCAATAGTTGGAATTGCTCTATGTGAAGTCCTTCTGATTGTATATACAGCTGTATGTAAATGGTGATACTGAAATACGACATTTCATCTTGAGCAATACAATGATAATATAACAATCTCATTTGGAAAAAAAAGTTTTACGAGCCTGACATGTATTGATGCCTATATGATATAACAATATTTTGATTAATTAATCCTCTTGTTGGGACGGAACCGTGATGTAATCTAGTGCTTCTGTGTTTCCGTTTACCTGGCAGACAGCCGGTTTCCAGTCCGGGGATGGTTGTGTACTAGCCCGAATGCGCTGAAATGAAAATTTAGAATACACCGGGATAAAATATTGTTAAGATTGTGCGTGCTATGTACGTATGTAAATACTAATCAGGCTCATGAATCATTTTGATTGATAAGATAGATGCTTTCACACGGGTTAATGTATTTTAGTATAGTAAACAACAGTGCTATGTTAGGATGATTTACTACAAATGTACTTCACCACAATACAATGTTAGGATTGTTTACTTTAAATGTACTTCACCACAATGCAATGTAAGGGTGATCTGCTACAAATGTACTTCACCACAATACAATTTAGGATGATTTACTACAAATGTACCTCACAACAATGCAACGTGAGGATGATTTACTACAAGTGGACTTCACCATAATGCAATATAAGAATGTCTTTGAGACTTATTTACAGGGATTCGTCGTCAGATCCCTGTACTGCTGACTGTATGACAAAGTTACAAATCATAATCCTTTAGTAAATAAGCTTAAGATTAGTTTCCCTCGTAATTATGGGGGTCAGATTTCGTCAAAAAGTTCGTACTGATTTGTCGAATTCATTTTTATCGTTCCTGAAGATGCACGCAACCAAGCTATATGTTTTCATGTTTTTTGTAAACGCGCTGCTTTTTAACGTACAAGTAAGTCACTACTACAGGCTGGTGACACTATTTAAGAAGCCAAACCTTTTTAATAGGAAAATTAAACGTAATTAGTCGCCAGAGATCAAGTGTTGTGTGTACGATTGACCACCGATACGCGGTAATTAGCCATGTATTAGGCACAAGTGACTTTCTCCTCTGTGTATGTATTGACCAATTTCGTCAAAAGACGTGTCGATGTTTTGACAAAAATTCATTTCGAGACTACTAATTACTTTCCCCTTGCTTTTCAATTGCAGGGACTGAAAACTCGCTTCGACTCAACCGAAATTTCGACTCAATGAAATGCAAGTCATCCGACCTAAAATTACAAATATATAGAAGGAACAAAAATCAGGATTTGAAAATCATTTCGACTTAAACGGTATTACGACTCATGCAATTTCAAGACGAGTTTCAACTGTATAATTAATCATAAAAATTACCCGACGAACTCCTTTCTCTACATTAAAACCTATTCATTTATTGATACGCTTATGCAATTCTTGGTGTCCTAGTGTACATATCACCGAAAGACAACAGACAAACACCGACTCCTAAACAAGTGTTAACGATTCGCAGTTGTGTAATTCTGTCTCATCACAATTGGTCAAGTTTAGGCCATTTGTTTGACTTTTTTGCTATAAATACGCATTGTTTTGGAGAAGATTCACATCTTAGGATATTGCTATCTGAAACGGATAATATTGAAACATTATTGGGTAATAGAGTCTGTGCAAAACCTTTGCCGACTCCTTGAAAATGATATGAAAACTGGACGAAATAAGCTAGCGCACAATTGTGCGCACGTCGTTCTATTCTATCCGTGGTTGATCTAAATTTAGAATCACATATTGATAATTGTATGATAGGGTTTATCTATGTTCTATATATAGAAGAGTAATTAAGACATTTATCGGCGAATAGTTGTACACACTCGAAATGTTAAAGTTTCACAAGTGACCAGCCTCAGTGTACAGACACTCATTTTATATACACTGTATATGTAAACATTAAATGGACGTAGCATGATTCAGTTAAAATCGCACAACGTCAGAAAGAAAATAGTATTTTCTTGTTTCTGTATTCCTCCTATTATTTTTGTAAACAAAAAGACATACTAGAGTGTTATCTTACACAGGAGACCTAGCCGGTGCGGATCCGTACCAGTCACATATATACCCGTACACAGGCTATTTATGATGCCCGGAGCTCACCTCTCGCCACTCTCTGGAGTGTCAAACTAAACGATAGAAGACCAATTAATGCAGGGTCAAGCGTACTTGTCGCTATTTAAGCATAACTACACGATATTTCCATTTAATCTGTTATATTAGCCAACTAGTTTTACCTTACCACACAAAATATGCGATTCTATCTAACAGTTGTGCTTAACGGAAATATCGTGTAGTTACACACAACATTTTATTAAAACACAAAGGAACAGAGAACCTGTGTATATTGCTAATTCTAAAAAAACTAAAAGTACAAGTCTTGTCAATTCAAAATTATGAAGTGGGTTGAGAAAGATTGATAGTGGAACAGAAAAGTATTTCATTTACCTCCATCATCCCTCCTTTCCTTATGTACAGTTCACGAAACATGCTCATAGGTATCGGGACAAGGGCAGCAATTGCTATTATCCAGCCGACACCAACGGACCAGTCAGGATAACTCTGCTTGGCATATTCCACTGGTTCAAGTTTCACAGCACTGAATACCGAAATGAACTGAAACAGTTTGTAACACTTTCATTATGATTACTAGACTCTAAACACAATAATGGCTTGGCAATTGATATGCAACCTTCATAACAATATACACAATCACCTGTGTGAGATGTAAACAGAAAACTAAATTAAACAGAGTTTCCTCTAGCACAATAACTCCGAATCAAAAAAAGAATTTCAAACGAGTAAAAAAATGCTTATATCGTTAGAAAAAGCCAATAATAAAAAACAAAAAACAAAAACACAGAAACATGTTCTCCCACGCATATCGGGTCACAGTTTTTCATTGAACAATCAATTTACAATTTATACATAAACAAAGACAAGTTTCACTTGCTCTTTACGTGAAATGTAACAACTATATAGACTTTATTTACTCATATTAAGGTACAGATATATTAGGTCACCCTAACATCATTCGGATGATTTTGTATCAAGTCATTTAATTATCGTACAATGTAAATGAACTTATCCTTTCCAATATATCATGTATACTTTTCAACTTACGACGATCACTGCTGGTGCTATAAATCTCAACATAACATTCCAGAGAGGATTTGGTTTATAACCGATCATCATTTCAATGTCTTTTAACAGGCGGTCACATCCTATATAAAGAAAGTGTGATTTAGAATCTTATTTCCCATTTGGCTCTCAATCCGATATTCTTCACATGTTTATATTTAAAGGCAAAGTTTCTTGATAATGGAAATACATTCTATTTAATTAAAAAGCTCATTCGCCTCCTTACATAATAAGTAATAAAATTCAACTTCGAAGTTTAAGATTCGATCAACGTGTCTTTTTCTTTAAAAATCTTTTCAGCCTGTTTCAGTCGAAGTAAAGCAATTTAAATTTTGGATTCTAGTCAAATTTGAAAGTTTGCGGTATAGTGTGCTCCTTATTTCTCATGATTTCGCGCAAGCCATTGATTCAACAATAAAATCAGAAAGGTATTAAATATAAATGAACGATAATAAAACTCATGCTTTAGGCAGACTTGTTTCATTTAAAATAAATCTAATGTGATGTTGTAAATCAAACACACATTTCAGTATCATGAAGTTTTACTTGACTATAGCGTTTGGCACCAAGATTCAATCAGTGGATCCAATTGTGAAATAGGACAAATAACGACAAAAAATTTGGACTATAATGGTGATCCTTTCACATACCATTGTTATTTCGACAAGATCGATCTGGGATATGTAGGTGTAGCAATTAAAAATCGAGAGCTGCAATGCTGACAATATTGGTAGATATTGATAAGGGGGGCAATTTGGACAATACACCACATCAACCAACTCGATTTATAAGGTAATTTTATTTTCATGCTAACACATATTCACATTGCAAAATTTCTAACCTAAATGCAATTTACAAACAATGATAAAAAAGCAATGTTTTAATTGGATTATGCCATTTAACAACACACTTTGATATGTCATCATCTATGCTATACTTCCTGTATATAAAACATGTCAGGACGAGAATTCACTAGTAAAGTGTGATAGACTACCTACCATATATCCAGGCGATAACAGTTACTTCGAGGAGGGCAAGGAACATCACGGAGACACTGGCACAGTACCAATCTATCAACGTCAGCACGTAAATACCTCCCTGGAATATCAAGTAATTAATTCAGATCCGGAAAGCATGTACAAGGGAACATATAGCTGTAATCATTTGAAAACATGGCGTCGTTATACCTAATGTAAACATCATATTGCAGCAAAACTGAACTTTAACCATAGAATATTTGTACAAGTGTAATATATTGTAATTTGAATAAAACAAGAAAATATTTTATGTTTTGTAAAAATGTTAGATGTACGAATTGAAAATAGTAACATTTCCCCGTATTTTTCTGTTGAATTTCATGACTATATAGAAAGGGAGTAAGCATTATGCCTGCTGTTCAAACAGCACAGTTCTAAGAGGCGACACTGATTATAGCACCCACTGCAATCTTGTTCCTATCTACGATGGTAGTGATCGCTCCCAAGAAAGGCATGTATTGATAACAGCATTTGTTTCTGTATCACACCTGCATAATACACGGTATTCCGAGGAGAAACCCAATCAAACACACGCATGCAGTAAGTATTGTATTCCTGCTCCGGAAAATTGGGAAGTTGTCAGTAAACATTCCCGTGATTGTCTGAACATGGACCATCTGGAAAACAAACAATGCTTGCTGTAAACAGTTGAAATACATATCCATTACCCGGAGTTATTTGCTCCAGATGAGTGTCAATAACAAAAGCAGATTCAAATTTTTTTTTTGTGTGTGTTGAAATGATATACCTTTAAACTGTAGCACAAACTACTTATATATTTACAAAATACTGTGATGGTATAGATCTTAATATCAAATTTGTCGTGAGTTTGAAAGCTTTATCACGTTTAATATATCAATCTCTCAAATAGAAAAGTACGTCACCTGACTGTCCAATCCGACTGTAAACAACATCAGGAAAAAAAGAGAAGACCAGAGTTGCGGAAGCGGAAGTGTTGACAAAGCTTCTGGGTAAACCATGAACGCTATACCGGGGCCTTGTCGAAGGGAGAAACCAAATAAATATAAAATCAGATTGAGTTCAGTGTATCAACTTTCCACGAATAGATATCGATAGGATAACATATTACAATCCGCACACAACTTACTAAATGTGTTTCTCTAATCGTGTCAATATTGCTGCTGTGTAGTTAAGAAAATGACAAACGAATAACTGATTAAAAGAACACCATTGATTGTACACTAAATCAAAGCATTATATTCCAACATTTAAGTATACAAACGTCTTGACGGCGCTATACACGTGTTTGATCTTCTAACCGTTTATTGTTTTATTACAAAGGGCAATAATGATGTAATACTGTTTTGGACCCCAAAGATATCGCGCTCTAATTTCCACATTACAATATCCAGGAACAGGGTTAGAGAACACCCGATGGCCACCATATCTTATTTGTCCGAAAGTTATAATCAAGGGAAAATTTAACGCGTTCTTACCTTACCTTCACAAGATCAATGCAACAAGGAAACATTACCTATATATATATATACGTACCACTTGCTACTACATCTCCAATATGTACTCCAGCCTGGTTGGCCATGTAACCAAGGGTAGCGAATATCACCATTCCGGCAAACCAGCTTGTCAACGCATCCACCAGGGGAAGTAACATGGCATCCCTTAAAATAGAGTAAGGTAAAAATACCCTGATATATAGGTCGTTATTCCTTATCGGAACCAACGAGTTCATAATCATTTATAATATTTTTCATTTTTTTTTTGTTTTGTTAGTTGATAACTCAGAAGTATATATTTGGGTAGATTATTAAACGATATTTACAAACACCGCAGCAGGATGGACTTAAACTGGTTATTCTACCAAAGGACGATGGGCGCTACAGACTTCTGTATACGTGTTACCTGTAACAGTTGTTGTTGAAGGAGTTGTAGCTAGCTAGTGTGGCCATACCACCCCATCCTATCCCTGCCGAGTAGAACATCTGGACAGCCGCGTCGCCCCATACCTTCACACAATAAGGACAGTCTATTGGTACTAAAGACAATATACTGCAAGCACTTTGCATTTCTTGTATTTCCATTCATTACTGATGCAAGGAACAAACACGGAAACTAGATTATAATTTAGATTTTGATCAATACGACATAACCTCAAAACTTTCCTTTGGTGAAAGTTCAACATTGATCAAGAGAAAAGAAGAAAATAGATAAAAAGTATTTATGATATTCAAATATTATTCAAATTTTCTTGCTTTTTTTTGATATAGTTCACTTCAAAAATCTATTATCCAATTTCGTTTTTATCGTTTTTATTCTTAGGTGCCGATAATAGCCTTTCATCAGTAAATGGCCACACGTCGACAGACATTCAAGTACACAACGCCAAAAAGGACAGCGGAAATGAAGATTTATCTTGAATTTCTTTACAGAAATGAATAAATCTCGTTGTAAAAATCACGGATTATCTGACAAACTGACACATCTCACCAATGACAATACGGGAAAATGATGACAAAATGACAAAAATGGGGATAATAAAGAATAAACAAATAATAAATAGATAAGTAAATAATTAGGGAACAAATAACTTATGTGGCGGGTAGAGAATCATTTATTTTGGCAATAAAATATGTTTAAACTAAAACTAAGAGAATCATTATTTTAGCGAATCAATTGACGTGATGTCTTCAAGAATACTATTACCATAGTAAATGTATTTTCATATGAAATAAAAAGCAACTACCATTCAATTACGTTAGAACTTATGATATACCTTACCGAAAGTTTACATAGATCTAACCACATAGGATTAGGAAAAACACATAACTTACATGTAAAAATAATTTAACTAGATTTGACCACCTAGAAATCGTGTAAACACATAACTTACATGTAACGACATTTGACCTTTGTTTGACCGCCTAGAAATCGTGTAAACACATAACTTATATGTAACGACATTTGACCTTTGTTTGACCGCCTAGAAATCGGGAAAACACATAACTTACATGTATGAAACGTTTACCTAGGTCTGACCACTTAGGAATAAAGTAAAACACGTAACGTACCGATAGTTTACCGAGATCTGACCACCTAGGAATCAGGTAAAAAAGAAGGCCATCTGTAGATCCTGGCAATGTCATTCCACGAATAAACAGCGTCAGGAGAAAAACATAAGGAATCGTAGCTGCCACATAGGCCACCTAAAGAATATACATCAAATCCAAGCTAGGTTATTTGTGTTCTAATATATGAATAACGTGGTAAAATATACTGTTAACATGATAGACGTACGGGTTTTATTTTCCCATTGTACATGATCCAGTTAATGGTCTAAAATGGTTTGGAAACATGGTTACACAGATAAGTTAGATTCTACACTCTGCCATATTGACATTTATCTGCAATAAAATAATGAAAATAAATGTAACACCATCACCAATGATGTTGTATTTCAGTATTGTACTGTTAAAAATACACCACTTTTTATTCCATGCCTTAATTTCATCATGTCCTACCCGATGCAGGTCTCATAGACACTGATATATTTGATACATATCTCATCCGACATCATAATGACATTTTGGGTTCTCATGCACTTAGCTTTAAGTCACGTGACAGAGATTTTGAGTAACTTTGATATCGACATCGAATTTCAGAGAGTACAACCTCTTAATGGCATTTATAGGATAACAAATTGTCTTAACCGGTCAAAAAGTACTGTCCATCTGAACAGTTTTCCTTGTTTGATTTTTGCAGGATGATTAAAGCAAGCGAGGAGAAGGGTTACGGCAACCATTGCATGAAAATGTAATATTTTGATAATTCATGTTGAAATTATTCAGGTGGACATTAGAATTAAGATTTATTATGTCTACTTCTGACACAAAAGTTTTCCTTTCCATGTAGGCTGAAAGGTTGCACTTTTGAAAAATCGGCATCGGTATTGATGTCACTCAATATGAATGGAACTCGTTCGGTATGCACACGTCTATGACAACTGCCATATTAACATGTAAGAAGATATATTCAATCATAGAAATCTTCCGAAATTCGTTTAAAAATGCATGAAATGTTGTAAAGATAATAGAAATCTGCTATAAATTCAACTATACAACAACAAAACTGCCGAAAAGATGGATAGATTTACTCGCTGGATACCACTACCGTCAACAGAACTTCACTGTATCAACACAGACGAGTTGCTGGGGTCTGGGATAGAAAGCGATAATAGTTAGCATGTTGGAGATGATGGGAATCATACACATGTATTTATGCGAAAGTATTGTACCATGTTAACTGTGTATTTCATACCGTAATGACGGAAAAATAAGGTTTGAGATATTGATTAAGAGACTCATCAGCATTTTGGCATCGTAAAAAATCGTGACGTCACATATTCAGGAATTTGTTACAATGTATTCTTTGAATGAATACGTAAATGGGTAAAGTTTCAGGGAGCAACATTAATATACATGCGCAGTGAAGTATGTATTTATATGAAGTATATGTGTAAACTATGTATGGGTATATGGCTATGTTATTATCATAGCATTTTTTTCACGTGTGTCATGTTTTCCCCATCACTTTTGTTGTTGTCAGATATTTTTTTATAAACATATCGCGTTATTGCTGGTTTATTTGATTCAATAGCACATAATGTCATAAATATTCCATAAACTATCGCCAATATCATTAAGTCTGCATATCTAAATTGAATAGGTACTGGTCTTTGCCACATAATACACGTGCAAATGTCTACCTTGCCGGAAGTCTTTATTCCCTTTATGAGACAAAGAAACACAGCCAGCCATGCAGCAAGCAATGTGAGTCCGAGCTGCCATCTGATCCCTCCCATAGTATCTATGCTATCAGAAATATCAAGAACGTTTCGCCTGCAGAGAAAGAAATGAATGCATGCCGTGAATAAAAATATATATATTACACGCACATTTTGTTTTCACAGCCAAATGAAGTTTGCTAATAAACGATGTATTCGATACACAGAGAACGTGAAATGGAAAACTTGTTTTAACGACTATGTCGAGTAACATATAAACCGTCATAATGATCAATTCTAAGCTTTTTATACGTTATATACATGATTTTTTCATAATGCTGCCTTAACTGCCAATTAAACCTGTTTACAAAGTATTCTAAATGTAAGGTAGTATTATTTGCAGGTCAGTCAAACAAGGAAATGTTCCGATTCATAGCTTCCACATCTCAGATTTCAAACGTGTTTGTGATATAGATTTATTCCGTTTATGTCTTGCCCTTTCAATCTTTAGATGTTAATCCCATTCATTTTACATGTCATGTTGTTTTTCCATACTCTGTTTACGCTGTTTTTCTTTGTAGATGGACGGTCAAGAATGTAAATTTGTAATTTCTGTTTGTGTTTTTTTCATATCCTAACAACAGCCAATGTCATATAAAGACAGTATCCATAGATTATAGGACCACTCAGTGTTGTTTCTATAGCGTCATCACACTGAAATGTAAAAACCTCGATATGATAGCAGGACACTCCACTTGGGTAAATGATAATGTCAGAGATACCGGTAGGAGGTTTTTTCTTACTATCAATTTTTCAATGTTGTCCGTGATAGAACAAAAGGTAAAAAAAAAAAAATAATAAAAACCAAACAAACGAAAACAAAATCTGTCCACTCCTTTAAAGATGTAGGTCAAGCATGTCGAGGATGTCAAAACTGAAAGCATCACTAGACTTTTTTCCAAACCGGTCTTCAGATACAGATAGCTATACTGCAGAATAAATGAAAAATAATGTTTCGCACGGTATCGATACCATAACCTTCACTATTTGGGCAAATGGTCGTCACTAACGTGTGAAATTAACAAACAAGGTAAGCAATGTAGGAGCGGCAATGTGTGCTTTTTTTTCACTGTATGACGCAACATACAGCTAATTGTGGGCTTCTTTAAGAATCGAGATTTTCTTCTGTTTTGACTTCGAATTGGACATTGAAGATAGCAATTGAATTTTAAGGACATTTTTTGTCTGCCTGCTCTGTTTTCCGTTTTGGCTCATTTTTGCACTGGTTCATTGCCATTTTCATATTGATATGTTCTGTAAATTAACGAAAATATAGTGTTAAGGTGGCATTTAGGGTATATATTTTTGTGCTTCCTCACTAAGACTTTCGAATTTCAAATGTAATGTTTAATTCTTATTATATTGTGTTTAATTATATTTCTACAAGGTAATGTAGTTCATTCAAAGCAGGATAAATTATTCAATATGATATTTTCAAAAACGTAAACAGGCCAGGATGCATCAGTTCAATAAAAGTTTAATGTCCTTCTTATTACCAGGGTTTACACGGGAAACGGTATAAAAGATTTCATCGAAACGAAATAATAAAGAAGGCCTGATACAGGCCAATGGGCAGGCGTTCTAAGGATGGCTCTACAATTTTGCTGAGCGCAAATTTATACTTGTACATGTAAATCGCCTTACTGCCAAAATTCTTCACTTGATGTTATGGCGGATCTGTTGACAGTCCTGTTGATCGCTGTTTGGGTGACATTATCTGTTACTGAATTATTGACGAAGCCCATACGTGTATAACAGTCAGGAGAGTTCCATTCATTATCACAGTGACTCCAGGGTAATACCGACGAAAAGGACATTCCAAAGTAATATAGTGTCCACGCAAGGATGACGTTATAGTAGATACTGACTAGGCCAGTCAGTGTTACCATACCATAACCTATACCTGTTGTAGAAAAATCAATACATCCTATTTACAATTTGTAATATGAATAATATCTATTTGATTGGTAATATAACACATTTTAGTACATCAATAAATAAATACTTCGTGTAACAAACAATATCATTGTCACGTCAAAATAAATGTGAATTCAAAATGAACGTGTTTACGGTATGATATTGTTTTTATTATTTTGCAATAATTCATTTTATAGTTCAGAGGAATAACAGTACTTCGCGACACTGCTAGCTATAACAAATTACCACTTGAGACAAATGTAAGATAATTTTCGTTCTCTACAAGGAAGACAATTTAGTTTTAATCCATCAAGATAGTAGCAAAATACCTTTGAAGAGAGGACAGCATATCCACACTTTACCCGGTCCAAGATTTGAAAACTGTGAAAATGATATCTCAAGTAACATGAGTGGCAGGGCGCTAACGGCCATAAAGAAAAAATACGGGATGAGAAAAGCGCCTGAAACAAAGCATACAATAAAATTATGTATAAAAAACAAAACAAATATGTAACAAATTATTTAAAAGTCTGTTAAATCCTCGAACATATTGTTAAATACCTATAAAATAACTAATATATATCTTTTTAGATGAACTCGTTTTATGAAATTACGAAATGTTTGTCAGTATAACAGTTCTTTTATCTCAATTGACATAGGAGAAACCGTACAAAACAAAAAACAAAAAAACAAAAAAAACAAAAAAACAAAAAAAAAAAAAAAAAATCGAATTTTCGGTTGAAACTATTTCCCTCTATAAAATCACTTGATTTTATAATCATAAGAGTTTTTTCGAAGAGGCTATCACAACTGGTAATAAAACCCATGCAAATTCCATCAATTACACTTGATGATGTGTCTTGTCTTAGGACAACAAGAAATTAAACATAATTTGAAAGCTAGGACATGACAGACACTTCTACATATTCTGCTTCAAATATTTTTCTAATCTATGATAGGAATGCTGATTTAGTTTTTGCTTCTGTGAGTTTTTCATTTCTAGTTTTGCCTCGTAATGTCACGATTTCCGTGCAGGATGTCGACAGCTTACATAAAAATCCTCAACACAGAGAACAGGGTTGATGAAGGTTATTTGAAATCTAATAGAGTCGTCACACTGACCTCATTGTAACAACATACCATATTTATGTACAATATGACGCTGGACTTGTTTGCTGCTCGTAAGTTTGTTTGATCTAGTGGTTTCGACATAAATCGTTATTCGTACAACATTTCGATGAAACTATGACAAAATAAGAACAAAAGACTGGCATGGAGACTCCCGATAATGTGCTAGGAGAACAAGGCCAAGTGTACCAGAGGTGAAGCATAAACATGTCTTTATTCATGTTTTGCCATTGTTTTTATGAAATTGAGTAAGAATCCAGTTATTGTTGAAAAAGCGATATTTATAACTGATATACACTTTTAATTCAAATAACCACAAAACCATTCATAGCTGTGTTTTAGTTCGAGTTTAAATCTACAAACCGTTTGTTTGTTCCCAGTTTCACAATTTTCGTAGAAGATGGCGACAGTTGACAAATAAACGTACAAAACTTGGCTTTGCAAGATGCCTTTGCGAGATGGAGAGCCATAACGATTCCAAGAAAGTGTTTGGTCATCTCTATGATCTATCAGGGAAATATCAAGATAGCTGTATTCGGCACACGTTAGTATCAGAAGGTGCCTTTTAATAAACCTACAGTAGTTCTCATTAGAAAACATGACAGCACTTACTGGTTTTGATTTACAAAATGTACGACTTTATTCCTTGTGTAATTTGAAGTAATAAGGGTTCGATAATAAATAGGATGCTTGGTGGTTTTATATTATAAGCATAGTAGTCCTCAATGGAAATTGTGTCAGTGATTATTGATTAAGATTAGATACAATTATACGATTTGACCTATTGCTTCGTTCAATATCATATTAGATGTTTTCGATGTTCCTAAGCCTGACTGTTTCGAAATTTAACTTGTTCTCATTTGTGAACGTGATTTTTTACACTCGAATTTACCAAGATTTACATTGGGATTCAAATCGATTAATATAAATAATGAGCACCTTGCATACGACTTTACTTTAGTGTACTTTGTAACTATGGGGACCTCGAAACTCTTGTACATGTGCGAGTTGACACAAACACTGTACACTGATCCCATCCTGGAGTATTCCTATTTCGAACATAAAAGTATTTAGTTGCAATAACCATGCAGAAATAATATTCATTTATTGTAATGTGAACATTTTATTTTCAAATCAGCACGAAAGAAACTGGCATATTAACACATAGATCCCTTCTCTAGTTACATACCAAATATAAAATAGTCATAAGACTATAAACATTTAACATGCACACCATTATTATATATGTTTTGGTGATCATATTGTTAATCATACATACATATTTTCATATGGCGGGTTTAGAAATTTCGCAACAGAATATTAATCTTTTTTCTGCATTTGTTAGCAAACAAGTATAAACTGCTCCTCTCAGTATGTTATTACGGGGAATTGGTGATTAGAAACTGTGAAGATGATTACGCAACGTAAAAACAAACAATTATAACTAAAACATTTATTATATATGTAATAATGAACAAATGATAGTGAAGGCAGGGAACTGACTAAGTGTTGTAAGACGTCTGATAGTAATTGATAAGGGCGGGAATACACCCCTGGCCCAGCTGACTTAAATGGAAGTGCGAAAGCCGTTTGTCTAAAAACACAACCTAAAATATTTATACTACATACATGAGACACTGTCACTACAAATATTACAGTCTTGTTACTAATAAGTAATGAATGTGATATTGTAACACAATAAACAGAATCTTTAACTTTGTCTGATGATGCTGTAATTACTTATTGAAATATAGTCTTGTATTGTCTTGAACGTTGACTTGTTTTATGGTGGTTCTCGTAGTCAGTGTCATCTTTCTATTAATGATTCACCTTATATGAATTTAAAATGTGTTAAATTCACGGTCTATTGAACATACCATTATTGGCTTATCATCGTTTTAACTGCCCTAGAAATGCTCAAAAGTAGGAAACAATGAAATATTACAATACTATGTAATAAATGATTGTGCTTCCAACCATTCGTTTGATCAAATTTTACAGACCGATCTAGATGTCGGTGTCACCACATCTGCCGTTGCAAAACATGTTCCAACAAAAGTACCTACTGAGAACAGTCATGGATATATAGAATATTAACGAATATCAAATATTGTCATCCCATCACACACTTTCCCAAGATGGTTATTGTATTAGAGACATGTTTTGTTTAACTTAAAGTTCAAGGATTGTGCATGATTGACGACTTCCGGTAATGGTGTAGTTACAGCCAAATGTGTGTTAGTGGCTCTGGCAAATACAATTATCTCGTAGTGGACAAGGCACAGATATGAAAACTGCTATAGAAATTGCATAACCAATGTGCATTAGGTACATCTCAGAATGTGTATTACAGGGACAATGTAAGAAAGGTAGCTTAAGTGACTCATACAATGCTATTGTTAAAATAAGCAGTATCCAATTAAGTGTAACGCACGGCCTGTCATAATCCTACCTGGACTCTCCCAGGTGTGATTGTGCACACTATGTACAGACATTTGTGTTGCGTGCCAAGAAGTTATCTGGAACAGCACGTACACTTTCTAGTAATTAACAATTTGGAATGGAAACGACTAAGAAAACACACACACACAAAAAGTAAAAGTCTTAAACAGACCAAGAGGAAAAGACAGATCACTAAACCCAAGCTAGACACAAACACATATCTACTGTATACTATGAATACATCAAGTCAGTAAGTCCCTAACATGATGTCACTTAGACCACATGACCAGCAGTGGGGTACGCATTATGCTCAACCCATGCAGGTACCACCAGTGATATCCAACCCAACTCTTGACGAAATTTTTAAAGAAAATGTATCCAAACTCGAAACAGTAGTACTGACAATAGAATAGCACGTCTTCATTAAAAATCAGTGAACACAATTCTAGCCAAAATTTATACAGTTGTAGAGAAGCTGAAAATATCTGGACGAATGGTCAAGAAAATGGAGGACAGTATTAACTTTGTCAGCAAGCAATATGATGAGTTTCAGAAGAATCCACGTGATATTAAAAAGGAAGTTAAGGCCCTGAAAGCACCTGTAGAAAAAACTGCTAAACAAGATCTAAATAGAATAGGATTTGATTTGAAGGAATCTATCCAAAAATGAACAGTTGAAAACAGAAATCTGAGGGATGAGCCACTGGATATACAGTGTCGAAGCATGCTTGAGAATATGATTTTCAGTGGCATGAACGAAAGAGCAGGTGAAATACTGAAGGTGTTCTGTTAAATGTTATTGCACATGCTCGATCATAGCTAAATTTACGCACTTCAAATAGAGAGAAGCATTTCGGACAGCCGCATCCACACGCTTCCTGATGACCAGTTTGTAGTACATGAACAGTATGCGATAAACCACTCATAAAAGTACTGTCAAGTATACAATTAGGTATAACAGGTATAAAGATGTAAGAAGAATGTGATGTATGGTATAGCCAGTCATCTTTTAAAAACAATTTCTTAAAACATGTCATAAAACAAAAAAATACACGATCAATATATACAAACGTGGTCAAGTTCTGTTGCAAAATCGAGCAAAGGCGCATTGTATATAAACTATTTAAGCCTGAGTTGAACCTAGAAGATTAGTTAACAAGTAACATTACAAATTATTAATGGCAGTGTCTAACAAAAAACAGATTGGAAAACCATCGTCTCCCTATCGAGGTTGGCAGATAGAATGATGTTACAAGGAATGATAGGGAATGTGAATTATGTAATGTTGGTGAAATTGGTGACAAATACACAATTGATTAGAGTGTAACCATTCTAATATAAGACGCCAATATTTTGATAGTGTCTACTATACTGTTCCCACTATGTATACGTTTGTTAGCTTAACAACAAGAGGTTACAATGTACGTGTAAAGTTGTTATATTTATATCTCATATTCTGAAGTTCTGGGCAAACACCTAAAATGTTACAACTGTAATAAAACTCCAACTGTTTATTGTATATCATGTTAACTACGCCATGTTATATGAATAATAATAACCGTGTGGTTTATCATTTTTGAAGATTAAATACAGGAGATAGTCAAGGTTGATCAAATCCCAATTAATGATAAGAAAAAATGATTTGGTAAACAACACGTGGCTTCCAGAATCATAAAAAAACAAAGAACATGAAATCGACATTTCCATTCAGTTTTGAGAATATCATGTAGTAGTAAATGTTAGCAAGTATGCACACAGAGATAACCTCACCTCCTCCATTTTTGTAACAGACGTAGGGAAATCTCCAGATATTTCCGAGTCCAACGAGACAGCCAATACAAGAAAACAGATACTCATACCAGCTGTTCCAGTTCCCACGTTTGTTTTCTCGCTTTCCATCCGACATGTTCACCTGTTCAAAATTGATTAAACAAAGATCATTTATGTGTGAAGAAATTATCTCAACCATCAACTCGTTACCATGGCTTAATCGTCATATTCATCTATTATGCAGTAGACAGATTTGCATTTGGTTTATAACTTTAAAGCTATTCTAACAAATACTAGGAATTGTAACCCGTCATTAATGGATATTAAGGCCGGTTCAGTACAATGTTAGCGGAAGAAATGTTAGACCGTAGCTTACAGTCCATTGCACATCTGAGTGACATTGCTTGAAACACCGACTATTGTGCAGTTTCATTTCCGTAAACAAGGTCGCGTCGAAAGAGTAAAATTTGTCGTGGCGATCCACCATGTTTCACGTGATATTTCATACAATTTAACCAGACAGATTGTGAATATTTTTTTCTACAATGCGTTCAACTGTCGATGCTGGAAGTCTACTCAAAATCTTATCACGAAAACTAATTTTCATCCTAAATTGGAAAGCAGGCTGGGGGTGGATAACAAACATTGTTAGACGATATAAAATATAATATTTGTTATAGTTTAACGCCATCTCTTAAATATACGTGAATAGTCTTATCAAATACATTTTTGTGATTTCTATAAAAAGATGATGACAATTAAGCCATAGTCCAAGTGATTAGTACATAACACAACTGTCATTACGTAATCCTAATATGAATATGATATAGATCCTGTTTACAATCCGATTAAGTCGTCGTTCACTCGACAAAATATTCATAACTTTTCTCGCAAATTACATATAAACCGTATTGATGTTTGCGTGATTAAAAGAAAAAATCTCGGGATAATTTATATAGCAAAATGCTTCGAAAAAAACTCTGTTGAACTTCATCCTCACAATGAAATTTAAAACGAGCGCAATCTAATATTACGATTTTCTATTGCTTTCCCAAAGGGCTTGTTTCACGGTACATGTAACTTTGCACACATCCCAGTCACATATGGCCTATACTGTGACCTATTTTATGATTCGGTAGTTGGTGTGAGCCAGGGTGTACATCTTACCCTAAAATTAGTTCAAAAACCTGTAATAAATCATAAAAACCCAAATCCTCTTCATTGAAGTCTGTTGTTTTAACTCAATAATAAAGCTACATGAATATAATAGTTATGAATGTTTGACTGGGAAAAATAATCATTTTCATAAAAAAATTCAATAAACTCAAGTCTTAGAACATTTGTTTGACAAAGTTTCAGTTGCTGTCCACCTGAAATATTGACATATTTTTTGCCAACGATATGTACACTTAATTCATCAAATTCTGGGATCGGTAAAACTATTCCTGACACAGATTTTCTTGAGGTGGCAGTATCAGGAAACAACTTTTATTTCTGATATTTTACACAGAGTGTTTTTTTTTATCCAAATGTACATTTATTTCAATTTCCGTCTTTGTTTCTATTCTTCTTTAACTGGAAATAATATCTAATCACATTTTGCCTCATTGGAAAAGACCTTTACTTGCTCTTGTTTTTAGAAAATAAAATTTATGTCAATGAGGCATTCTGTGCATCATTTATGAATCAATCAGATGGTAGTATCTCTCCATGAGTAAAGCATTCAAGCTGAAGCTGAGGTAAGCAGCTGAAGGCCATGAACTGGTGAACTTTGCCCGTCAGCCACCAGGGATACATTTGATTGAATTGTGTACCTGGTTGTTTGTTAGTAAAACTAGTCAGCTGTGCCCTTGTTAGTAAAACTAGTCAGCAATGCCACTAAGCCTAAAATGATTAATAATTAATATCGTGTAATTGATGCTGTCATTAAATGAAGATTTGTTGTCCAGGCAACACATTTCCCTAGAATCAATTCATCATTGAATGACACATGAGTTATTTTTGATCAAGCGGGAACAGTTATATTCTTAAATTATGTGGTCTATCAACACTTTGCATCAAAACTGCATATTTAGTCCAACCCATATCAAGAACAAGTACAAAATAAATGATAATCACAAGGATGTTCACATTGACAGAATCTGTAAGATTTGCCCTGAACAGATCATTATCAAGATTGCTCGCCCGATTTCTCTGATGATAATGAAGAGCATGTTTTCCACTTCCGCCGCGAAGAAAAAATCGATTACGCGGAAAGTGTAAACAAACGCACATTTCTTATGTATGACACTTGCTTTTGCGCCTTTTTGCTATTTCTTGTTTGCAGTAAATTATTCTATATATTTATAATATGTATCTTTTTATAATCAATCTTAGAAATTCATTTTGTTTAGACTTGTCGTGCGAGAATTATCTATGTCAATTGCGGGCGCTAAACTAGTGGGGCCCAAAAGGGGGTAGTTGCAATCGGAAAAGAAAAAAACTCTTTGTGCAGAAATGCACAGGAATCAATACTTTGTCTGTACACATTAATAGATATTGTTTACCATTCAACATGTGTCTATGTGTTTATTATGAATAATATGTTTATCACCATGGTCGTTATTCTCACAATAACACCAGTACCGTCATATTTTTACACTTAGAACGAATACCCGCAATTGGGCCCCACCTTGCAGTCAACAACAAACACAACTATTTTTATTCAACATTTATCATATAACACTTTTAGTAGTATTGTTAATAACATATTCACCCGTCAAACACTGGATATCGGATTATAATCAATGACAGGCGGATACATTATAATTATATGGCTGACGTTAAGCTAACCAGTCAAGCAGCAGCTTCGCAGATTCCAAATTAGTATTCAGTCAAAGATCCTCCTTCATCTTTCGCCATCTATCGATCTCTTCTCTAATATAAATTCTTGCCTGTCCTCTTTTCTGGCCTGACTCCTTCCTCTTACGCTTTCTGGAATTTTCTGTAAGGTAACTTTTAGGTCCTCGTCGCCTTTTCGTATTTGCGTCCGCAATATTGCTTCTTTCTAGGCTTACACGCATGCGCAGCATCAGAGTTACGAGCGGTAATATATGAATTAAATCAAGACCGCAATGTTTACATTCTTTATTTTTTAGATATCAATAAAAAATGGTTGCAGTGACTTTTAATTTTAGTAATTAACAGAAAGTCTTATTTTTGTAACATACTATTGGAAAATAGAACGTTTTGTATCGTTTTCTCGTAGTGGTTTTTAACATTAGAGTAGCTTTAATTTATAGTATGTATACTGAAGAGTTTTCTATTTCTTCTCATAGACTTAAACATTTAATAATTCACAACAATCAGACTCTAGTCTAGGATCTATATGGCTGCTCGAATACCAGGAGCGTTGAACGTAGTGTAGCTTTTTGCGATTCTCATGTCCTACATACAGTTATATGTCAGTTTGTAAACCCAAGGGAGCAGTCATGTTAACAACGTTATTTCAGTAATGGAACATTATATATTTTACGATTGATCATATCAGATGTCCAGATCGGAAATCACGTGGCTGGTATGTTTAAAATTTAAGTACTCCGACGGGAAAAAAGGTATATCTACACGCCAGAATCATTGTTTTGGAATTCCAACATTATATTTGACGAGATTATCAATTGGTAATACAACTATCAACTTATAGATAACAGATGTTCACGAAACGTCTACATATTCTGTGAACAATTATCGACAACGGTGTGGAGGGAGCCCATAATCTCGACAATAATCGCAAATGGTACGGTAAAATGGCTCCGCGAATGCTTTCACTCTTACAAAAAAATAACGTTTTTGGCAAATCGAGTTGATGAAAACCACAACATGACACGCCGAGCTAAACATGAAAACTTGAAGCATCTGATAATTAATTCCCTCGTGTGGATCTGAAAAACCTTGAGAACATCACATGCGGTACGTACCAAATCAAACAGTGACATGGTTACATTGTGAAACATCATACAGACAATGGTGATTATGAGATTTGGGTAAACCAGCACAATAATGATCTCATTCCAGGACAGATTCATTCTCATCACAAATCTCAAACGAACTACAATGTTTTGATTCAGTTTGTCGAGAATGAATTTGACGATCTTGTGAAGGCTTACTACTGTTTATGTCCAGCAGGAAAGATACCTCTAGAATGTATGCACATGTTGCATCAATAATTTTGGAGTATCACGTGTAACCACACAGTAACAAACTTGAAGATTCTATTCTATGAACTAACAGAAAATAAGTGCCAGACATCTGAATTGACAAAAGTAGTTAATATTTGTTAACTATTATGATTGTATGCCTGAAATATGGCAACAATCATTATCAGAAATTATTTTTGATTAGGAAGATATTTCAAAAAGCTTCGTCAGTGTCGAAACACATGTATGTAGTAACCACGCCCTTTTGTTTCTATTCCATTACAAAAAAACATACTGATAAAATTAGAAATATTTTCATGATTTTGCTTTCACAAGAAAATCTGTCCCTGGAACAATTTTACCGGACTCTGATTTCGGTAAAATTGTAAATATTTTAAGTCAACAATGATATGACAAACAGTTTTCCAAAACTTGAATTGGTTGAAATTTCTCCATGAAAATTCCATTATTCTTGAACTTATTGCTGAGGAAAGGTAGCGGTAATGAAACTAACATCATGATCAGTGACTGTAAAAATTAATGTTTAAAAAATGAAATGTCCATATTCAGTTGGGCGTGTCATTTACTGAAATGTTTTCTTGATATTCATGGGAGAGAGTTCGTGGGATAAGGTTACCGTCATAATAACACAACCGAGGTAATTTGATTCCTAGGAATGTCTGATACATTTTTTCGTGATATCTTATTTTATTGACATAACCTCTTCCCGCTCAGTTTTCTTCCCTTCAAAGAAAGAAATCAAAAACATAGTTGACATCTAGATCGCAAGAAGGACACATATATACAAATTAAACAAAATGCGATAGCATGTCACTGTAACAGGAACTTGAACTTATGCCTAAGATTTTAATTTGACGTGTGCATCCCTCAATGGTATTTGATACATAGTCTTGCCTACTTTTTAAAACAATATATCGCAAAACTGCATCAACCCACCATC